ACCTCTAATCTTGAACATTCTATTCACTCATATGGAAATAGGGGAGGGGCAGCAAAGCATGTCTCCTCCAAAGGAATGAGGAAAAGTGAGAAAAAAAATGACCCTCAACCCTGGAAATGCAATTAGATATCTCCTTTTGGGCAGAGGCAGGCAGCTCTCTCAGACAAGTCCCACCAGAGACAAAAAACAAGTTTTACCTAACTTGGGCAAGAGTGACAGTCATTCTGAAAAATTCCTTCTCTCAAAACCTAGAGACATGGGGCTTATCTAGACTAAGACTGAAAAAAAAACCCCAGAGAAATCACCACCCCTCACCACTAACCTACTCAGTCTTTATTAAGTAGTGTGTGGAATCTGCTACCCTCAGAGGGGCAGAGTATCTAAAAAGAACCCTGTGTGGTACAGGTGTCCAGAATTGACTAAAAGCTGCAGGTAAAGTACAAACAAAAACAAAACCCATCAGCATACCAGCTCCAAGTACAATGAGGCCTTCAGTGCAAATTGAAGCCTATGGTCCCTGAAGGTAACCATAGCAACCACAGACACACACAAACTCAGCTCAAATACTGACAAGATTACTTAACACTCCCAACTGATTGCATATAGAATAGTATCCGCCGGTGCAAATGCTATTTGCTTCATTCTCTATCTTTCTACACATGATATAAGGTATTTTATTTAAAAAACCCAATATTTAGAAGATTCAAATAAAAAAACTCCAGGCTATATGGTAGATTTTAACAAAAACAATTTAAATATTTGGAGATTCAAATAAAAGAAGAAAACACAATCAATTTTTGTATGAACAAAAGATTCAAAATAACTTAGAAAATACATTTGCTATATTAAAAAAGCAAGTTAAACTTGCAATGGTTAATACATTAAAGGACTCAGTTAAAAGGAGACAACATGTATAGACAAATTGAAAATTTCAGTATAGTGACAGAAACCATGAAAGGGAATAAAAGTGTAATCCAATAAACTAAAAAAGAAGGAAGCAAAGAGGAAAAAGTGGAAGCAACAGAGCTGAAGAAGAAATTAGTGAGCTCGCAGAAATGCTTTTAAATTTAATCACATTGAAATACTAAGAGAAAAATTATTAACACTGGATATAGTGCACAGACCTACGGAATAATGCAGTAAAGGCAGCCAGACAGAAGGCACTGCTACTGGATAGAAGGACACAGAATGATAGTCAGGTATCTGTCAGAAAATATGCAAGAAAGTGGAAAACTATTGAAAAAAATAATCCAAACACACAAACAAAACTTGCTGGCCCAGAATTCCCTACCAGTAAAAATATATTTGACATATTAAATTAAGGTAGAAATGAAAACTTTCTCATACAAACAATAGCTGAATTCAGTACAGAATTCATCATACTATAGGAAATGTTCAAGCAATTTCTTTGAACAGAAGGAATGTGTGGAAAGTGGCACATGTGTGGGCAGCACCTGTGGCTCAAAGGAGTAGGACACCAGCCCCATAAACCGAAGGTGGCAAGTTCAAACCCGGCCCCACCCAAAAAACTGCAAAAAAAAAAAAAAAAAAAAAA